TTAAAAAAAAAGAAAAAAAAAAAAAAAAAAAAAACTGAAGTCATATTTTCTCAATCTCCGTAATGTTTCGAACAATCACCATCTAATATTGGCGACAAGACAATCGCTTTCAGTCTGGTTAACTTTATTTACACATATACCACTGAACTCTAATGTATTTACATAAATATATATATATATAACACGCGGGGCAAATATAAAACAGCCCAAAATGAGCAATTGTAGAATTTAGAAGTTCTCATAATAGATTGCAATATAAGTAATAATTACGATAAGAACTTATTATTGTCATGTTGTCCAAAGTTTAACAAAAAAAAATTAAATTAAATTAAATATGTTGAGACAAAAAGTATTCCACCTAATTCATGATGAAAATTTATTTTATTTTAGTTTTAATATTAATTTATATATATAATAAATTTATCAAGAAAAAGATGATTCCACCCTTACTAATTAATTCTCAACATCGTGCACTTCTAGATATCGGTGTCAATTCAGGTGAACGATGGGTCGAAACTAAAGACCAGAACCCGAGCATGACCTGCTAACCGGAACTTTTGTGCTTATTTGGGTCATGTTTGGGTTTTCGGTTTCAACTCAAACCCAACCTGAAGAATAAACAATTTGAATTCTCTGATCTGGACTCGACTCAAAAAATATTCAGGTTAATCGTAACCTAAATTTTTCGACTCAAATTCGAGTCGTATTAGCGCGTCGGGTCAATTTGAACACCCCTACTTCCAGATAACACTCACCAAATAGTAATATGTAATGATATGTAAGTTCACCAAATAGCAATATAACATTATTCATAAACATCCATGAAATATAAGATGCCTCAAAATGCACCTAAGGTTGTAAACCAGCCAAGCTTGAGCGAGACTAGTGTTCAACTTGTTCAAAATTAGCTTGTGTTCAATATTGCTCTTAAACATTGAGTTCATTTATGTTCGGCTCGAAATTGACTGATTTAAATTAATTAGTAAAAATAGATGTAGAGATTTGAATTTAAACCTACATCTATTTTCTGCAACCACATAACTACGTGACGACTTGACTTGAGTTGTCATTATTTAAAATTTTATATATTCTTTAAAAGAAATGGTCGGAGGATATTAGATGAGCCCCGACCATCCATAGGTGTGCTAAATATTAGCACCACACCCTACACGTGCTAAAACGAGCCGAACACAATCGAACAAAAAATTGTTCGTATTCTGCTCGTTTATAATTCAATTTTAAAAAATTTATTTGTGTTCCGCTCATTTACTTAACAAACGATCCGCGTTCGGCAACAACGAGTTTTTTTTACGGCCATAAAACATCTATGTTTTAATTAACTAAACTAATCAAAATTTCAATGATAAACAAACAACTTTATTCAAATTAAACGTTCCATCAGATGCAATATGTTAAACCAATTCATGAACTGACTGTAAAGCTCAATCTATCAAGCCTTCTAAAATATTATAGAGCTAACCTTCTGAAGAATTAAACACAGATAGAACTCCAGAATCTTTCATTCCAAGGAAACATAAAATCCAGACAGCTTCTGTATAAGCTTCTACTCTCCCAACTTCCTACAAACCAGAAATTATGAACCAGCCCTTATGGTAAATTTGACAAACCAGAAATCCACAAGGTTGAGCATGAAACTAAAACCAAACTTACCTCAGCCTCTCAACCAGGTGTTCCGGTAAGACGAGTTGTCGCGCAGGGATGCATCGTGCGGCTTGTACTCCATGACATAGCTCGGTGGAAGCTTCAAGTGCCGCTTGATTGAGTCCCTCAACGCCATCACGGCCTGAAGGTTTGAGATGAAATTTTTTAGAAGAAAAAGAAGAGATCCACAAATTTACATAAGTAGAATACAACTTTTTAGGTATTTAAAGATCTCACACCTAAACATTCATATTTACATCCATAAACTTCGTATGCATGAAAGGTGACATTTTTTGAGTGCTATGTCTGTAAATATGAAAGTTAAGGTGCGAGATATGTAAATACATAAGAATTGTGTGCTATGCATGTAAATGCCCCTTATTGAAAATATTAAGTATGATGATTCTCGACCCGGGGATCTGAAGCGTTGCGATTCCAGACACTTAGCACGTCCTCTTTGAATCTGATGCTGAGAACGGCGCCGCATATGTTATCGCTGTAATCTAGCTGGTCGCCGATCAATGCGAGAACCTGCAGGAGATGCGAGAAGGCTTCAGAAATTGTATGATGATTATATATGCAAGAGAATGAAACAATCATATATGAAGGGGGAACAGTGTGCTAGAAATAATGGAAATTTTCAAATTAATGCAAAAAAAATAAATTAATTTAGTTGTTATGTTATGTTACTACACAAGGAGAGCAAGGAGACGAACCTTTTCCCTGCCCCGGCCATATTACAAATTGCATGATTACTTGATGTAAATGATTTTTCAGTTCAATAAATTCCTTGATTTATTTTAATGTTCTCCATGAATAAGTAGATTGCAAAGAGAATGGCGTGGGAGAAGATAAAAGATAAAAGCCTGGCGGTGTGCAATACAAAACATGTGATGGAACTTTTCTTCTCTTTTTTTTTTTTTTTAGGGGGGCATTTACAGACAGACCGCTCAATTCCTATGTAATTACATATCTAACATCTAAGTTTTATTTTTTACATTTATATGACCCAATGCTTTCATATCAAATAAAAAAAACCATTATTTTAACTTTTAAAAAAAATGAAATACAACTTTTAATGCATGGGTAAGGGGGTATATATATATATATATATATATATGTAAAAATTGAAGTTTAGATGTTAAATAAGTAAAAACAAAGGAATTGAATGGTGTCTATGTAAATCTTCCCTTTCTTTTTTATCGTCTTGCTTGATGGGAACGTTGTTAAGTGGCTTCGTGCAATTTTAAAGTAGAGATGGGAGGAGACAGAGAATTTTCGCAAAGGCAAAAATTAACTAATAATTTCTGGACAGATTTTTGGCTGAGAATTTCTTATAGAGCAATAATGGTGATCTTTAAGCTAATTAAAAATATGGATAGAAAGCTATAAATTGATCAAGTTAACTGGGCACAACAGGTGAATAGCAATGGCGAGAGGTTTGTGGGAGTTTGGCTCACTTTTTGTCAAGGTTGAAATCATTTAAAGATTTGAGTAAGTGTGCGTGTGGGAGGGGCTTATTCAGAACGCCACCTCCTATTTGGAAATTACGTTTTACAAGATTTTCTCAAAACTCCGTTCCGAAATTTGTATTAGATGTGGATCGCGGGTTCCTACCCGCGATCCGCGTTTCATTTGCTCGAAGGACAAAATAAGCTGGCGTTTGCTTCCTCACGTACTCGCCTCATATGCCCTGGCGAATCACCCGACCACCTCGTTTGCTTCCTTCGCTTCCTCACGCACTCGCCTCGTATGCCCTAGCGAATGGCCCAACCACCTCGTTCGCCCTCTCTCGCTTCCTCACGCGCTCACACGTTCGCTCGCTTCCTCCTCCTTCGCTCGCTCGTTCGCTCGCATCCTCCTTTGCTTCCTCGCTTCCTCCTCGTTCGCTCGCTCGCTTCCTCCTCGCTGGAATATTATATGTGAGTTTTCTTTTTAATTTATAGTTATTTATTTAGATTTTTTGGATTGTGTTATGGTGTGGAGTATTGATTGATGGTAAAAAAAATTGAATTTTGAGATTCAAATACGTGAATTAATGAACTGTGGATGAAGTTTATGTGGAAGGTGGATGCTGATGATTTTCTAAATTCAATTTAGATTTTGGTTTTCTTGTGCAATTTTTGGTTTTGATGATTTTGACTATGAGAGTTTTTTTTTATAAATTTAAAGATAAATGCTCATTTATTAAAGATAAAATGCTCCTTTATGCTGAATTATTTCATTTGTTTCAGATTTTTCAGTGGTTTTATCTGTGAATTTCTTTATCGATCAATTAATTTATTTGGAACTCTTCCAGATTCGTGTTGACGTTTTGTCTAATTATTAAAACTAAGAAAATCTGTAAATCAATTGTTTACAAAACGCCCAAATCAAACAGTTTTGTCCAAAAATGAGACAAAATGGTCATTTGTCCAGAATCAACTGTTTTCCAAACTCACAAACCAAACAGACAGACAGTTTATCCAGATCAGCTACTTATCACCAGCTTATCAGAATAAGCAGCTTATTTGGATAAGTTGAATAAGTTGCAGCTGCCTCAAACAGACACTAAGTAGCGGGAATATAAGATAACAAGAAACAAAAAATAAATAAATAAATGCAGAGAGTTCGCAAATCTTAGGGTGTGATTGGAGTAGCTTATTAGCTACTTTTCATTTCAAAAAGCCGGCTTGGAGGCATTTGCGACACGTTGTTTCCTGTGCTTATCGTAAAATAGTGGTTGGGAAATGAAGTTCGACGAACTGACGGATACGCCTTTGTTTCAAGGTTTGTTCTGTAAAAAGAGATCGTCGACCTAAGGGATTCTGCGAAATTATTTGTTTTACCGATAAATTTGAAGGTAGCTCTACGCACATAGGGCTGACTGTTTCGACTCCTGTTGAAGCTTTGTGTGCTCCTCTTCCCCGTCGTTACTTCTGTCTTTGATTCTTCGTTCCAATGGGCTTTTAAGCTTCGTTTACCTTACAGTATTGCGTTGTTAGTTTTTCTTAGGATTATCTTGCATCTCTTTTCTTTGAGTATTCTGAAAAAACGAGAGCATTTGGCCATGAGAAAGGAATACATTTTTATATGTAGGTGTCAAGGGGGCTTCTTGTAACTCTGTTTGTTGAGTTTTTTCTTGGAAATATCTCCTGCATTTTGAAGTTCGTTCGGTGTCCAGGGGTGTTCTTGCATCTCTAGTTGTTGCGGCCTGTGATGTGTGAATTTACTAGTGCCTTTGGAAAAGATTTTTTTAATTACCTATGTCATTGCTTGTATCTTTGTAGGATTATCTATTAAAAAAGTTTTGAGATAAATTTTTGGGTTCCAATGGACTATCTGTTAGTGAAAATGTTTTTTTAATAACCTAGGTCAGTGAAAAATGAAATCAAATTTTTTAAGTGTCGGTGGATTAACATGCATCTCTGTTGCGTCTCTGTTGGTGTCGAAGGGTAATCTTGCATATCTATTTGTTGATTTGTGTGCTAATGAAATCAATTTTGAGTTAGCTGTGAGAAAGAAAGATTTTTCTAGTATTGTTGAATCATAAATTATCATTCGTGATCACGCCTCGAGAGTTGGGGTCGGATGAAGGAGAAAAGATGAAGTAGGGAATAAGTTAAGAATTCTCTGTAGAAAAAACGGAAAGAAGTCACTTTATTTGGGTATTTGTCTCTTATTTATAGGGGTGTATTTGTGCAAACACAGAAAGAAAGAACATTTATGAAAAATGTTCTTAATGCAATTGATGCTCTAATTTATACCATATCTGTGTTATAATTTGAATTCTCATATGGCGGTAACTGGCTGATCCGTCTGCTTGAATATAGTCGGCTGAAACGATCGGCTGATAGGCGACCGCGCCTTCCTTAGTAAATGTCGGTCGGTTGAGGCGTCAGGTCGAATATCAATCCCATCCGTCGTAGTAAAAGAGGGTCGGCCGACTAGCTTGCAATCAAATGCTCTTGCATGCATCTTGGTCGGTTAGAACCGCAGCCACAGTCCGCCGATGGAATCTCACAATAGTATGTTGGTCGATTCTGATCATGCGGTCGCTTGTTGGATGATTGGATGCTTTGATTATCTAACCACCATCAGGGTCATTCGACTGTTTTGAGACTCGTGCTAACAGTTTTGATGTATACTTCTTAATTCATTGAATTTTTCTGCTCATTGAAAGCGGCAGCTACGATGAGGACAGAGAACTTATTAACGGACAATGGTACTAGACTCAAGAAAATCAATTCAATAATTAACTCACCTTGGATTCTGTGCCCAAACAAATATTATTACTAATAAAACCTGGCAGATATTCAGCAATGGTCAGCCAAAAATCGCATTGTAGGTCTGGAGGTTCAACCACCAGAAAGCTCTCTGTGTTGGTGAATGGTCTTTCTCGTTCTCCCCACGAGACAAGCAGCGCGACCACGCCTAGGACTTCCTTTCTTTCACCAGAGAAGCCAAATAATGGGCCAGTTGGTGTTGCCAGTCGATCAGCTTTGAGCCCCATTTTGTCAAACACCGTTTTGGAACAGAATGTTGGTTGAGCTACCAGTGTCGGCCAGAATATTGCCCACTTGGTAGTTGTTGACGAGGATTGTGACAACGATCGCCTTGTTGTGCGGATTTCTTTTTGGCGGGAGAACTGGATCTGTAAAAATAATTGAGAAGTGGATGCGAGTGTAAAAGGTGACAAAACATACCTCCCCGACCCATGTCTCTTCAAGTTGGGTGATCTGGTTAATCCTTCACCTCCACCGAAGGTAGCCAGAATGATCCCAGTGAAGTGGATTTCATTCACGCACACCGGCTTGCTCGCGGGCTCCCCGGCTGGGGCTTTCCTTTGTCGTTGTGTATGTACTTCGACAACGATAAACTCCTTCAGCTTCCCAGCCATTACAAGCTCCTCCGCCATATTTTTCATATGACGACACTCCTCCGTGTCGTGCCCATGGTCTCGATGGTAGGCGCAATACTTATTTGATTTTGCGCAGTGCTGATGTTGTCTTCAGCGGAGGAGCCTTTTTGAAGTGGTCCTTATTCTGGATGGCTTAGACTAGTTTGGCCATCGACAGATTCAGGGGTGTCGATCCTTGCATCTCCTGATATACGTGCGGTCGCTAATCGGAAGGACATCACAGCTGACCCGGGTTGCCTCGATTGCCCTTCTGGTTGTCCCAATGGTTTGGATCGCCATTGGATTGTCAGTTAAGGGCTCGGTCACTCTTTGTTCTTCGGTCATCCTCCCAGTCCTTCTGCATTTGTGGTCGGGGGTTGAATGCCTTCGGTTTAATTTCCGAAGAGTCCATAAGGTCATCTTCGGTAGCAATGTGATCATTTGTTAATTCTAAGACCTCCGTGAAAGTTTTTGGCTTAAGTTCAGGTCATACCTGAACCACTTGTTGTGAATCCCCTTGTCTTAAGGCGGTCAGGGCGCTGAGAGGCTTCAAGTTCTTCACCTCTAGCATGTCTTTTTGGAAACGAGTGATGTAAGCTCATAGGCTTTCACCCTCCCCCTACTTGATTTGAAGCAGAGACTTTGTATCCTT